CATAAAAAAATTCTAGTGGGAAAGGACATCCGGAGAGCAACTAATCCAGCATCCTGCTCAAAGTGAGGTCAGGTTGCTCATGGCCTTTTTCAGTCAAGTTTTTGTAATATCTTCAAAGATGGAGATTTCACAGCCTTTCTGGGTATCCTCTTCCTGTACTTAATTCTCATTGTGGAGAATTTTTTTCATATGTCCAGTGCCCTTGCACTGATTTGTGACTGTAATCTCTATTCCTAGCTTGTGCGCTTTTTCTGAAAAGTGGCTTTGTTGTCTTTGTAACTCCACTTTAGGGAGCAGAAGACTACAGTTTACACTTTCCTGCAGTCTTGTGTTCCTCTGGTGGAACAAACCCAGTTCCTTTGGTGCTTCCATGTATTTCATATTCATTGAGCCCTGAAATACATTACTGAATGTTTAGAATAACCTAGTTGTCAGTGTTCTCAGTAACACAAAGGGTAAGACAGGCCAAAGAGAGTGCTCATTTTGCTTAAGTGTTTTGAAGTATTCTTGCCCATGTGCTTTTTAATCTGCAGTATCTTTTTCGGAGGAGGTCTTGATCTCATTGAGAATAGGCTATTAATTTTGCAGGAATGAGTACAACACCTGAGGTCTGGACAGACAGCTTTATTTTCATTTTGCTTCCCCGTGTGTCCCCTACTTGTTGCATCTAGTCCTTCTAAGGTAATAATAAACTTGTTTACTTATATGCCTTCCATTCGCAGTATCTGGCACTGCTCTGTTTAATGAGTAATAAGTTTTTCACAAAACTTGAAGCACAAATGCTATTTTATGCATCAGGAATGACTTTCCTTTAATGATCATTTTTTGAGAAAATGATTCAGTTCATTGTTGTGGCGAGTTGTGTAAAGTTTAACTTAGCAGAATATTAATAGAATGCTTTGCAAGATGACTGAGGAGCTGTGGGGTAGTGGAATGCATGCTTGCTGAATCACTTCTATTAAAACGAAAGGAAGAATGATTACACTTTAATTTAAGCCTAGCAGAAAAAAAGGTCATCTTAATTCTCTATTGCAAAAAAATTATTTGCTCAAAATATATGACTTACCTATAAAATTCTAAGCATGTTGTAGTGTATGTTGATGGAATGGTGCCCGAGAACATCCATTGCTCTATTGCTTTCTGCAGACTTTTGCGTTTTTCTAGGAAAAGCTCTTGTATTATGTTTCCAAGCAGGCTCTAAAACATGGCAGCCTGCCCTCTCTACCTATTTTTTCCCCTTTCCAAAATGAAAAAAAAATTATTTATTTATACAAGGCATTTAAAAAGATACTTGGTATAGGTAATGTGCAATAACTGGCTTTTGAGTTTGTTCAAGTAGGTCAGATGGCTTAATTATTTACCCATGTATCTGTTTGACTATGACATCTAAACCAGTTCTTCTGCCTGATCTGTGTCTTGCATGGTGACTCTCAAGATACATTGAGTTTAGTATGTAGAGCTGTTTAAAGACCAGAAACTTCTTTTTTTTTTTTTTTTTTTTTTGGTGGAGAACATTGATAACATCACATTTTTGTTCCTACATCCTCATGGATAGCGGTATCATCCTCTGTGTACTGGAGCCAATAGAACTATTTTCTCTTATGCCAGATGTGAGCCCTGCTTTTAGTGACAGAGCTGTGAATGGTAAGTGTTACTCAAGGAATTGGACAAAATAGCTATTTACTTAATAACAGCATTTCAGTTGTTGAATATCTCGTGAAGCTAAACTGACTTAAGTGAACTGAAATGTTTGCAGCCTCCCAGAAGATTGTAGTATAAAAATAACGGATACCTGCTTTGTTTCTCTATCTGGTACAGATCTAGTGCAGTGCTGATTGATTAGATCTAAATAATGTACTTTAAAATTGAATCTTGCTTTTAGAATCTTTCTTCAGAGAAGGAGGAGGTATTGGAATGGGAGCTCACTTTATGTAGGAGTTCTGCTTCATTTCTGTTTAATGACAGGTGCTTAAGATATGAGAACATTGTACCAGGATGGAACGAATTTAGGAGCCTGTTGCACTACTTATTCTAATCCTTGACTTAAATGTGGTCGTGCTTCTTTCTGAGGTATTGGTGTTAGCAGAGTTTGTTTTCTCTAGCCTTAAACCTTAAGATTTGGTTCCCTGAATCTGCAGTCCTTCTTTAACTTCACAGTCCTTGGAACTTCATAGTCCAGCAGTCAGTGTTTAGGACCTTCTGAGCAATACTGGATAATTTCAGTAGCTTCATTTTATTTGTGAGGCTCTGGGCTTCCCATTCTAAATTCTCTAGGTATAAAGAAATGTGAACATGATTTCATGTGGATCCATAGTCTACTGTGGCTAAACTGTATCTATGACCCAAGTTAATTGTCTTAACCAATGCTGTTATTTTTTCACTATATTGCAGTCTGCTGAAGGCTATGAGTACAGTTTTCTTTAACCTCCTGGAACCGAGTCCCTTCTCTTGTAAATAAGTTATGAGCAGTCTGTTTTTGAGGAATGCTGTACTGACTTTTCATGCTTGCATGGACTCCTCTCTCTCAAACAAACTTTGCTGTTGCTTCTTGTAACTTCTGTGTATGTTTCTAAATCCTGTGTGTTGCCCTTTGGAGAGAAGATGTTCTTCTGTTAAATAGTCAGTTATCCTGCATATCACTCTACTAGATTACCTCTCCAGAAAAAAATTACTTAAAGCTTAGCTGATTTCTGTTCATGACATTGTGTAGTACCAGCTCTGTGTTCTCTCTTCTCCAACAGTGTACATGCATATATTTTTCTAAACATCTGAGGGAAACTACACAAGCAGTTGCCTGCTGCAAAAACTATCAAGGTATCATAGCAGAATGTCTCCAGCTGACTATAACAGAGATGTTGTAATGCCTCTCAGACCCTTCTCTCAGAAGGGTCGGGGGTTACCTTGCACTGTGTCCCCTTTGTAGGGGGGCAGAGGGACACAGCACAGTCAGCTTTTGGGGGACATTCCAGATGCTGCTGCGGAGTGTCCATACACACCTTGAATACATGCAGCCTCTGAGATCACGAATGGTATACAGCTTTACCTACACAGAAGCTTTAAATGCATTTTGAATTCGGTGTGCTCACGGGGACCATCCGTAGTAACTGCTGAAAATAGTCTTAAGATCATTTCTTAGTTCCATCATTTGCTGCTTAAAAATTATTTGGGCTACCCACCCCATAATCTGGAACTGAAAGCCTCTTTGTGATTTTCAGTGCTGTTTGCAGTGATAATTGAATGATGCCTGGTTTCTCTTAGAGGAGACTGTGAAGCATCTGGCTGCAGCAAATGAAGCTTGTAGATTGTGTGAGGAGTGAGGTCAGATTCTCCTGCTTTGGCTGCATCAGAGTTCCAGTGCAACAACTGCTGGACATGAACAGCTGCTGAGATATCTCATTTTCCTGTTTCCCACAAAGGAAAAAACAGCAGCTGGGTCTGAAGTGCCAGAGATGATTTAAATGAGTTCCTGGTTATTTCTACAGATATCTTCAGTTTCATCAACAGAGTGCAAATTGAGAAGGAAGGACCTTAAACTATCCATTTTATTCAAAAAGACTATTTCTTACATTATTTGTTACTGCTTCTACCCTCAGTCCTGGCCCTAGAGGAGAAAGATATGTTAATGACCCATGATGGCTTACTAGAAATGCCATCTGGCTGAGAATTTTTGGGACAGGGAGGTTGCTGGTACTTCAGCAAATCTGTGTTTGAATCTTCCTCATCTTGTTTTGTGGTCACGTAAGGTGAAAAAGGTAAGAATATTTAGCATAAATACTTTGGCCACTTCTGGAATACGAAAGCTGTGGGTGGCTTTTCAATTATCATCTCGTGATTTTTCATGTTAAGATCTTATTACCATCTGTAAAAGTACACTAGAATATCAGTTCTGGGGGCTGAAACTTGCTGTTTTGGAAATGGCATTGTTTTGGATTGCAAGCTATGAGGGCCGCATGTCTGTCTCCAAAGCTGGAATGAATTGCAGATGAAACCCATAGTGAATAATAATAAAAAAATATTTTTAAATGCTACTGTAACAGTAATGCTTCCAGGACACAGTCTATATCTTAGGAGGATGCTTTTGGTATTTTCTTTTTTTCTTTTAAATTTTTTTTCTCCCTTAAATAATTTGGATATACCTAAAGTGACAGAGTATTTACTGTGGGCAAATTAAGGTCTCTGTTTGGATAGTTGATTCAGATGGAAGGAAGGACGAAGAGTAGTTGGGATTGGGATGGAGAGTGGCAGGAAATTATAAAACTTCCGGACCTTGTGAAATCACTTGAGTTCTTTCTTGTCAGCTTTGGAAATAGCTGCATTTTGTGACTTATACTTTTATAATGGCTCTGTTCAGAAGTGCTGTATGCAGGGACCTTTCTGTGATGAAGTTGCATTGCTTGCTGCCATCTATTACATACCTTTCTCTTCTGTGGAGAGGGATGTGCAGTGGGTTCTGGTTCTGGAAGGTAAAGGAGATATACGTGTGTGTGTGTTTGTGTATTTTCAAAGTATCTGCTGATACATGTTTGTGTTGATAAAGGGAAGGCTGAAGTAGTACACTTACAGCGAGAGCAGTAAGTGGGTGGTGAGCTTTTATAAAGAGAATTGATTTCTCAGGGCACTCACACCACAGTTGTGATTAGGGTTATTTGGCCTCTGACAAAAAGCAGTTTTACCCTGGTTGTAACGAGTTACTTTTCTTAGGTTCCAAGTTGTCGCTGGCATCTTTGTTTCAGACTTCAAGAGATTTGTTTTTTTAATTACTATTATTTTTTAAGGGAGTCTGAACTCAATGTCTGTCTTAGCCTTTATTTTTAAGGAAGTTTTCAAAAACTTTCTTTTTCTTAAAGGCAGTAAATTTGTACATTTGGCATGTAATCTGTTTTAACAAGATATTTTTATACTTTCTGTTTTACTGATTCCTTTTTTCTTTAACAGAAAAGACTTAATACACAACTTTCTTACTTTTTAATTCAACTTTCTTTTATACCTTAACATCTTAGGATGAATATTTAAACAACAATCTTCAGTCTTGCTTCAAAATGTCCCTGTGTGCATCTTCTCACAAGGACTTTTCTCAGTTGCTGCCACTTCAGGATATTGGATGCAATAAAACAGAAATTAAAAACTCACCCGCTGGTATCGTCTCTCCAGTTCCCTACAGCTGTAATCAGTCCACGTTGACAGCAGCACACAGTCCAGTCTGTATTCCCTCATCTTACATGGAAAACAGACATGAATATTCTGCAATGGCATTCTGCAGCCCTGCTATGATGAATTACAACATTACCAGCAATTTTGGTGATTCAGAGAGTGCATCTGTGAGGCAAACATCAAGCCCCAATGTGTTATGGTCTGCTACTGACCATCTCTCCCCTCTGACATTGCACTGTCAGTCATCACTTCTGTATGCAGAGCAGCCAAAGAGTCCGTGGTGCGAAGCAAGACCGGTGGAGTCAGTGGTACCTGTGACCAGGTCAGTACTACTCATTTCTTTAAAACTTTGCTGAAAATTATTTCCAGTTTCTTTAGTTCTTTTAGGTCCTTTCTTCTTACATTTGATGTGTATGTAATGGTGTCTCTGAAAAACAAAGCAAAACCAAAAAGCCTCCACCAAACACCAAATCAGTCCTGGGTTTTTTGGTTTGCTTTTTTTTTTTTTTTTAATGTAAATTCTGAAATAGGATTTCTTCTTCAATAGCTCCTTAGAGAACTATACACCAACACAAAGCACTACAAATGCTTTCGATATGGGAACTCTTTGTTGTGTATAAACAAAAGTTGAAGACTGCTGGGTATTACTTTGTGTAATAAAAATGAATTTTGCCCTGGCAAATTAAGTCCTTTGAGTGAAAGAAGTAAAGGTTCATTCTTTTTTTCTTTTCGTACGATGCTGTTTGAACACCATTTTATCTGGATTTTTTTTTTTTTTACTACATCTAATAGTTGTGAAAGCTTTTTGTGAACTTAGAAGTCAAAGAAAATGTTTTATTTGTTTTTTGGTGTTAGTATTACCACTCACACAGCAGCATGCATCATGTTCAAAAGGGTGCTGCTGCTGAGAAAGTCTGACATTGTTTCTTGTTGCTGTTCTCAACTGACTTTGTGAAGGCATTGTGAACAGCAGATTAACAGGCTAAATTTTCACCTGTAAAGAAACTGTATTTGCAAAAGCGTGTTCCCATTCTGCACATTTACACATATTTCAAACTATAAGCAGTGTATAGATCATCAGCTGATGAAATTACTCCATTCACGGGCACAACAGCTGTTGGATGGATAAAAGCACTGGGTGTTGCAGGTGCTGTTCCTGTTTTCACAGAATTCACAGAATTCACAGAATTGTTAGGGTTGGAAGGGACCTCTGGAGATCATCTAGTCCAACCCTTCTGCCAGAGCAGGGTCACCTACAGCACGTTACACAGGACAGCGTCCAGGCGGGTTTTGAATGTCTCCAGAGTGGGAGACTCCACCACCTCTCTGGGCAGCTTGTTTATTCATAGGGCACCTTATTTAACTTCAGCAGTCATTGTCAGTATGAAAAATAGTGTGTCCTGGCAACAGTTTTAGTTCCATTGTTAATAAAGGGTTTGTGCTGTTTTTGAAAGCACCCACGTTCCTTCTGCAACGGGTGTGCCTTATGTTGTCTGCACAGGGCTAATGCACGAGATCTACGTCTACTTCAGACTTGTAGGCTGCAGAAATCTTCAGCCCAGCCAGCTGACTAGTCTCTCTTTGGTGTTGGCAGAGATTAGCAGACAGTAGTGCAAATCTACTTTAAGTGTAGGTGTGTGGATTGGGAGAGGTAGCACTGACATATGGAAGGATTCCCCGAGCAGGTCTAATGTGAATAGGGCTAACATCCAAACTCTCCCCACTTTCGTTAATGTTTCAAAACTTCGACAGCCCTGGGAAAGCTGCTGTAGGTTAGTGTTTGAAGCTGTCCAGGTGATGGGACAGCAGCTGGAATAATCCAAGAGCACGAGCACCCCATCTGATGCTCTGCAGTGCGCTCTCTACATAGGCAAGGGGGAAGCTAAATGCACCACCATGGAGTTCAGGTAAATAAGTCTTCTGCCATTTGTATAGACTCATACAGACTATTGCTTTTGTAGCTGATGATGACATAATTTAAAGGGGAGAAATCATTGAAATCTGGGGTTGAAAAATTGATGGATGATCTTTATCATTCAGCAGCAACTACTGTGTTGCTTGGTAGCTGGACCTTCTCGGTGGTTCATTTGTCTCAGTATGATGCATTGTAACCCGCCCTTTGTGTATAGAAGGTGCAAAAAAGAAAAAAAAATTGACTTGAAAACACAAAAAAGCAAGACCTGTAATTCCCTTATTGTGGATATCTGTCCCAAAATAAAGCCGTAAAGAAAAAAAACCCCGTGTTTCCTTTTGCTTTATCCTTTGGTGATGTCTTAAATTAATGTCGTGAACGTTATATGTATTGCCATGGGAACAAAGACTGTGACACTACAGATTCGTAGATTATACCTTGAAGGAAGACTTCTTGGGATTGAAACTTAAAGGAATAGCTCTGGGGGAAGGGAGAGACTAATGCTGTAAAGCGTGAGTAAATTTAAACAGCATTGTAGTTTGAGAAAAGAGATTTTGTTTGAAAGATGAGTAAGAAAACATTACTACGTATTTAGACCTGTTACACAATTTTACCTTTCAAAATAAAGCAAGAGTGTCATTGTGGGAGGAATTTATTTTCGCTGGGTGTAAATTTCTGTTATTATTAGCTAAACTAATGGGGTCCACTTTGCTAAAGCTGATCATTGTGTAATTTGGATCTCCTGGTAGATCAGCTTAAAATAAGGAACCTGAATAATTTTCAGCATTCCCTTTCCTCACAAATATGGTTATTATATGAGTACAGAAGAAATTTATTTAACTTTCTTAAATGCAGATGTTCTGCAGCATACTGTTACTTTGCACCAGTGGTTCAACAAAAATGAATTGTATTCCAAGTAAAAACAGACAAATTTTTGGAGACCTATTTTCTTATACAAAATGGTAATAATTTGCTGATAAAGGCTGTGCTATATTTATTTGCATTATAGGTCCTGTTCCTTGTGAAGAGACTAAAAACAGTCTCATAATTTTTTTGTTGGTGCTGGATCACTCCATGTATATCAAAATGACATGAAGATAAAAGGAATGTGACAGTGTAATTATATTATATTTAAAAGTAGTTTGAAATTTATTTCTGTCTTCATACCCTCAATAAAAGGTTTTTAATTAAAGAAACAAAAGGTTTATTTTCAAAATGAACAGATATATTACTTTCTAAAAAGTATCAGGAAACTGTAATGAAGTTGCCAGAGTGATGCTTCTGGAACTTAATTTGTTCTTCCCTTCTATTATTTTCCTTGTACTTCTGACTAATTGTAGGTAAAGCATACAAGTAAAGTTTTCTGGGTGCACAGGTTAGCAATGCTTGCTTAATTGGAAGTTATTTAGTAACTTCGTTTGTCTTGTTCACTGTGTGCTAGTATCATATTTATCCATTGCTTAAACTGTGGTCTGAAGCCATAATTGTTTCCATTATCCTCCTATGCTTTTTTATTGTGCTGATTCTGTAGAACACTTACACATATCGTGAAGTCTCTTTGAGGTGGTGGATTGGCATCTCCATTTTATGATGGAGGAGTTGCAGAGATTAAGCAAAAATATGTCCCTTCATTTTGAGATAACTATGACACGATTTTCAGTGTATGAATCAACGTTTGGAGCATAACAGAACCTGTGCTTTTTGACAGTTGTGTGGCATTAACACTTCCAGAAGTCATGGTGGGGGGAGGCTCTAGAAAACAAGGAAGATAAAGATTGAAAAATATTCCTCAGCTCATTTTTGCCCATCGTCTTACACACATTCTGGGAGAGAAAGGAAGGGATTCAAATTACTTGGAACAAACCTTAGTAACCATGAGGCTCTCTTTTGACTTTCAGCACACTAAAGAGGGCAAGAATGTGAGCACAGAATGGGACCTTCAGATACAGCCTTCTTCATCCTACAGCTTAGGCTTGTATGAGATTGAATTATCTCTGGGCACTGAATGAGCCAGTGGCCTGTGGGAGGGAGGGAAAAGTTATAACTAATTACAAAACCTGGACTGTTGATTTTTGACTTAATGTTGGGATTTCTTTTTATTTTCTCAGTGTTTTTTTCTTTTTTTCTTTTTATAATGTACAATTGTTAGGTTTTAAAAAGCCTGACAGACAACAAATGCCATGAGCAAATATTTCTACTTTCTAATCAAATCCTTGCTACCCTACTTAATTTTTAGCAAGAAGTTGAATTTAGGTTCAAGTTTTCCAGGTGTGGCATACGCATCAAACACTCGCTGTGGCAAATCTAGAGGTAATTAGGAGACATGATAGATACTGAAGAACCTAAATAGTCTTGCTGATTCCTTCTCCTTTAGGGTAATCACCTTCACTGGGTCACTCCTTTAGGGTCATCTTCATCTTCACTGTTGATGGCTAGTAGGAAATCGCTGACTTGTTACTTTCAAAAAGATCTTAGTTCTTTTTATGGAAACATAATATCTCTATATAGAAACCATGATCATAAAATAGAGAGGAGTATTAGGAGATGTAAAGTGATAAATCTTTGCCATGTGGTTCCTCGGTAGCAGTCAGGGTACATACCCCATTTTCCTGCATCCTTTGGTGCAGAAGCTTTGAGGGCATCCAGCTAGCTGCCGCCAGTTCTTCTGGAGGACCTGGCAGCTCATTCATCTGCTGAACATGCTGGAGTGCACCAGTCCCAAGAGCGCTGGGAGGCGATCTCTGACCATGTGTGGGGCTACCCGCTCCTGTTTGCTGTTTGTGTGGGTAAGCTGTCTGATCGTGAGGTCCTCAGGGTAAGGAACTCAGGGTAAGGAACGTGTACCTTAAAGCTCTCGACTGTTTCCTACTTCTGTTGTTCTTAAAGAGAATAGTAACAAAATGATTGGGTTTGAATCTCCGGCTGCGCTGCTGCAGCTATCACACATGAGCAGATTTGATGCCCGTTCAGCCTGCAGGAGGAATTCGTTCCAGATTGTTGCTCTGTGTGCAAGCTGTTTGCCACAGTCTGCAGAAGTCACGCAGCTTGCATGTCTGCTGGGTGACTGTCGTTAAACTTTTAAGCAAGGAAAGAAAAAGTGTTTTTTAAAACACTTGTCATGACTGGAAGGTAAAAAGCAACACTCCTCAGTGAAAAGTTACAGTGTGTGCTTTTCCTTTATTTTCCTCCATAACATCTTGGTACTTTAATGAGGGCAATAAACATCACTCTCTACAGCGTATCACTCAGTTGCTGAGATCCTCTCTAGCTGATTGTGATTCTCTTCTGACTCTCACAATTGGAGCTTGATTCCCAAGTAGAGCTTAAATATGTACCTCTTCTACTAATGTGAAATGCCGAATTACTTCTTATTCCAAATACAGGGAAACAGGAAGGAATAGTCATGCTTTTTCCTCCTTGCCTTAGCAGCATATTAGGCATGCGTGATACAGCCCCTTTATTCTAAGTCTCCCCCACGCTCGTCTTCCCAGTGTGGCAGAAGGGAAAATAACTTAGTGATTCAGCAGTCCATTAATGGGTGTGTGTAAGTATGTGTGTAATCAAAGACTGGAGTTGTAAAACATCTAAACACCTTTATTCCTTTCAGTATCTCAATGAATTAACATTTTTTAAAAGCTTGCAGTAACTTAATTCTCCAATAAATACCTTAAATTTGAAATTTAAATTCCAAAACAAAATTTATCTGTTTTGGAATTTGTTCAGAGGACCACCTTTTTTCCTTTCCATTTTTTCTACTAGGAAATTAGAGCATGTTCTCCTCAAATATTTTTAAACTTGATGATTTTTAGTTGGCCTGTGGATGTGTTTGTCCTTATCTCCTGTAATGAAACCAGCACAAAGTCTACTTTTAATATGTTAGTTAAAGCCTTTTTGACAGCACATTCAGCATGTTTCTACTGTTCTGTTTAAACTTGCTCTTGTTGGTGAACAAGTTTCTTCTACCCTGGCAACGTACCCTTGTTCTTTAGAAGTCATAAATCGTGCTACCTATTGTCTTATCTCAATTGATGTTTCTTTTCCTCCCTAAACCTGCTGGAAGGTGGGATGAGGAAAATCCTGCAGTTTCTAACTTCTACCTCTGTGCTTAAGTTTATTACCTATAAGTTGACTTTACAGCTTCCCTTTTGTCAAACTGCTGCTGACAGTTTGCATGTGACACTATATTCTCTCTGTCTAGAAGTTGTATTGACCATGAAGGTAAAACATGCTAAAACCACCGAGAAAATGAGGTCCAGAGAAAAGGTACACAATGGATGTGCTTCCTATACCTAAAACGCACTTTACTGATAATCTAAGTTCCTTTCCTCTTGCTGTTTGTTTACAGGATCTTGGTGTCAGGAATTGGCTGTTATTTCATGTTTTTGTCCTGTTCTAATTTTAATCCAGTTGGTAAGAATAGTTCCAATAAGTTGGAACTATTTGCAGTGCTTTAGGAATTAATATATCTTACTAATTTAAATGGAGCAATAATTTTGTATATATGAAAGCATTTTATTAATTGTGTTTGTCCATTCTTCTTGTATTCAGACTTACTTTGGTATTGCATTAGGGTGATCAGTGTGTCACGAACAGAAAACTTTGTCTAACATTGTGAGTTGATCTTGTAGGCTTAGATTCACATCTCAGTATGTTTGTTTCCAGCATCTCCTTGGATGAATAAAGCCTCTTTTCAAGGATGAAGTACTTGAGACTAGATGTGTATTTCTCCAGCTAAAATTTACCCTTGCTAACAGTACAAAGCAACTGCAGCTATGTTCGTGGTAGTGTTTATCATGTCAGTCCAAGCTGTCTGAGTTTTAATTTTCCATGCTAAGCTTCCCAAAGGTAAAGGCCACTCCATTCACAAATTCCTGGCCTTGTACATGTCCAGGAATCCTTCAAGATCCATTAGCATTCCATATGACTTTTCCCAGAGTTCATCTGAATGACACATCAGCAAGCAAATTTTATGCCTTTCAGTATTAAAACTTTATAGTCTGTCATCATTGAAAGCTCTGGGATCAGACTATATGCTTTAAATAACCTTATCAGAACAAGGCTTAACAGTGTTTCATACTGTCCTGTGTTCAATAAAAAGAAGACTCTATATAGAGAGAATTGAAGACAATGAAAAATAATGAAACTCTTTGCAATGTACATTAATTTTTTCCTCTTTTGTAACATGTTTTTCTTTCTATCAGAGAGACGTTAAAAAGAAAAACTAATGTCAATGACTGTACAAGCCCAATTGCAAATAATCCTGGCTCGAAAAGGGATGCCCACTTCTGTGCAGTCTGCAGTGACTATGCTTCAGGATACCACTATGGGGTCTGGTCATGTGAAGGCTGCAAAGCATTCTTTAAAAGAAGTATTCAAGGTAGGAGAATCAGCTTTTGATAACTTTGCTCAAATAAGATGTTTCATATGATCAGGGGCTGCAGCGATCAATCTAGTAATGAGTTCATCTAAAATCCTGGTGTATGATGCTGCATGCTGAAAACAGAGCAACACATGATTTGACTGCTTTATCTTTTGACTCTTATGTTATCAAGATCTGGAAACGTTACAAAGTAAGCAATTGATTTCTTTAGAGAAGAAGTGAAATACATAGCACAGGAAGGCTCTGCAGCAAAGGCCTTGGTGGGATGGCACTGCAGACCTGTGAATCGGATTGCGGTTTGTGTCCCACAGTAGACATAGTAATTTTGATTAGACACAGTTAGAGTAGGTAATTGGCTGGAGACTTTGCTTGCCAGGAACTATTCTTGACAAGAATATATTGCCTGGAGCTGTCAAGTCATAGCATATAATATCTACACAGTATGCAGGATATAAAGATATGTCTAGTAAGTATTAGGTACAAATCTGATTATTGTTATTTCTCAGCTGTCCATCCCCAGACCCTACATCACAGTATTTCTTACTCAGATCTACCTATCTAAGATTTCCGCTTCAGTTTACTTAAATATTTAGTATTTACTTCAACTTTGCTGATTGACTGCAGTATGGAATAAAGGTAGGTCTCTATGTTTGTTATCACAACCTGTGGGCAGAGCCATATGCACCATATTGCAACTTTGGACCACTTAATTTCTTTAACCTTGGTTCTAGTTATTGTGTGCCTTGGCCTCATGTGGGGCCTGTTGGTGGAAACTTAATTGCATTGGTGCTGGATACTACATGCAGATACTAACAGAGAAACTCCTGTCATTTTTTGGTCTGTAACGTTCCCTTCCTCTTCTGCACACAAAGTGTTTAGCAATCTTGAGATATTTTCTTTTGGCTCAATATGGCAGAGGAAGTGTCACCATTAGAATCAAATTTAATTCACAACTTGTTTGCCTTTTCAATTTATTGTGCAAGTTCTGCAAGGGTGAATAACAATTACTATAAACTGGTGCAAGTTCTTTTGATTTCTAAAATAATTGAAGAGAACTCTGTCTTCAGTTTGTCACAAATGGAGATTGAGTTTGATCTCAAAGTGTTTTCTGTCAGGTAAATTATTTGCCTGCTCTGCATTGCTCACATGTGCTTTGGCTGTGAACAGGTTACCCATTGTGGCCTTTTGTACACCTTAATGTACCCTGTCAGGTAACGTTTGCTTGTAATTCAAATAAATGAAAGTGAGTTCTTGGCATAAAACACCATCAAGCACTCGGTTGCAATGGTTGTTATGGAGGATATTGTTTATAAAAATAAAAAGCTTCTGGGCCTACCATAGACCAAAATGTTGGGCTAATGTCTAATTAAAATTAGATGGTATGACTCAGCAACTGTGTGTGGTCTCCTCTGCTTGTCCAAGTTTGTAGTGTAGTGTATTCATCCCACATCTCTAAACATCTGCCTGCAAGCTAAATTATCCCAAGGCCACAGGAGTTTTAAAACTCTTTATAATCCTGTGTGCTTGGGTTATAATGCAAGAGAGAGCTTCCTCCTCCTTTCCCCCCGTGTTGTGTGAAGAGTGATAAACAGTAATTTGTTTTTCAGCCGTAACTGCCAGTAGGAAACAGGACAAACTGTAACCTGATCTCTTCTTTTTAAAACTGTCGGTTCAAAAATTCAAGGTTAAAATTATTTTAATTTTGCAAGGAAATAGTCACAATGGTTCAGTTAAATAATTACTCTTGGGGACATGAACTCTTGGACTTGCATCAAGTGAAAAAAACACTAATAGCTGTCTCTTTGCCTGATCTATTCTTAAAGTTTGAAAAAAAAAAAATTAAAAAAAAACCTGAGAGAAAAGAAATTAAAAAATGTAAATGAGTGGATATTTTTTGCATCCTCTGGTAACTACTGCAAGAGAGATTTCCAGTATTTGGCAGGATTTAGACCAAGAGCATACTCAAGTCCAGTTTACAGTAATAAACCTTTGGACCAGATTATTTATTAATGAAATACAATAGCATAAGAGGCTTTGGGTGGGAGCAAGGTGAGGTGGGAGAGAAGAAGACAACAGAAGAGGCTGTAGTGGAAACTGATGAAAATAAGAGAAACAATTGTTCAGAATATCTAAAAGCTAGCTCTTGTGCTTGCGCTTTGCTTTGTACTATGCAGTACGCATTTCTTTATACTAGTCTTCTTTCTCTCTTGGGACGCTTTTTTTTTATTAACTTTGGTTCAGGGTCAGTCCTCCAAAGGCTTCTTCATTCCTGGAACTCACCACGTCAGACAGAGTTCAGTAAATAGAGCTGTAGTTTACTTAAATCTTTGCAGGACTGAAGCTGTGCACGCTGCTATTTTCAACTCATCTACTACCTGCCATCCACAGAATGCCAATATACAGTAAGAAGCTGGAGACTGGGACCAAATTTCTACAAGACCATTTTCAAAAATGAGTTGGTATTAGAAGGTGCTTGGTTAGCTAAGTCATCACAAAAGCTGGTCTATGTTGTCTTTTTCAGGTAACAAATCCATGTTTTCAGTAGAGGATAAATATGCATTTTTGCATCAGTTAAATTAATGGAGCTTAGAAATGCATAAGAAAAAGTTGAGGTGCTTAAAATCATGAAGGTTCTGAGTAGGGAAATGACCAAGAGAAGCTGTTGGAGATGTTAAATTTTCTTCTTTATACTCTGCTGCAGGACATAACGATTACATCTGCCCAGCTACCAATCAATGCACGATAGACAAAAACAGACGCAAAAGCTGCCAGGCATGCCGGCTACGGAAATGCTATGAAGTGGGAATGATGAAATGTGGTGAGTTTTGTGTGTCTGTGCTGTTTGCTTGGGTTTTGCTGGCTTTTTGTTCCCCTTCAGTCAATTCTGTACAGCTTTTTTTTTTTTTTTTTCCCTTGGAATCCGAAACAGGCATAACAGGCAATTAGAGCAAGGTTTAAGCTTGTTTTATAGGAAGAAATGCAATGATTCTTAAAGTTGAAAAGGACTTTTTCAGAAAAAAACCTGTGGGAAGGAGTAAGGTGTAGGTTCAGCACAGGAAAGCCATAGCACCTCTGCAGAGCTCTGTGAAGGCAGTTTACTTGCATGCTATATTCTGCAGAATGGGAACCCAAGACCCACTGCTGCCTGAGCCTCAAACCAAACTGAAATCCCTTCTAATATGGGGTAAATGAGCCTGAACTGTGTTCTGCTAGTTGAATGTAATGCAAGACCAGCAGTGCCACATCAGAGCAGTAGTTAATTAACCCAGGACCTGGACCCTGTCTCCAACAGCAGCAAGAGTGAATGCCTTGGGAGGACTGTGAAAATGAGACTGGCAGCTAAGTGAAACTACCGATGACAACTGTCAGCTTCCAAAAACTAGCAGTTGGGGAATTCTGGTGTAGAAGAAGTTTTTTGTATTTAATAGGTCTCAATATATTAATGGAATGACAACTTGTCCAGTGTCCCTCTTTTTAATCCTGTAAAGTCTTAGCATCTACAACATCCTATAGCAAAGAGTTCTGCATCTTGACCACCTCATGTGAAGAACTAACTCTCTGATTGCCAGGCTTTTTTGTGGGGCTTTGGGAGGGCAGCAGGGGGAAGGTATCGAGGGAGCTGTTTTCTTTTTGAACAGCGTATTTTCAGATGATGTTCTCCAGCTCTTCCATCAAAAGAAGTAGTGAACAACCACAGTTTGTCACTGCACCGCTCAGAATTATCCAGCCTTTTCTCTTATTCCCATCTTGTTCTTATAGTGATGTGACCTCACTGTAGTTGTACATTTATACATGATATTTTAAAGATTACTTTTAAGAAAATAACTTAAAAAAAAGATATTTCAATATCTAAAGTACATTTGCTGTCAAGGTTTGTTGTTGTTTCTTATAGATTCCCCAATATACATGATAGAGATATGCTGGGAAAACATCACGTAGGAACACTGGAGTGGAAAGGAGAAGGTCACTGTGCTTGGTCCTCTGTGATTTGCAGGCATGCATCTCACTTCATCCCATTTAATGTAGAGACCTATTTCTATTTGAGGACTAGGCAGTATTTTCATCCTCCCACTACTTTGATCTGAAGGCTGTTTGCAGAATGTTATTTCTTTCATTAGGAACATTCTTCAGAATTCCAGCCTGCATTTCTTGCTGGACAATTAATGCCCATTTGTTCTTGTGGCAACATTATCCTGTAGCTTAGAGGCTCCTCTTCTCTTTATTGTTAGCGCTCTGGTTGTATTTACGGACTACATAATTTCCCCTCACAACTTTCATTTTATTAGGCTAAATGAACAAAGAAATCTCCTCCTCTTGCAAAAAAGGAAAGTAGACAGAATTTGGAAGTCGTCAGGGTAGCTTGTCCCTCTGTCTGCTCCAGGCTGAAATAATCTGTTTTGCACTTGGATGACCAGAATCGTGGACAGTATTCCTGTGAACTCTCCTCACTGTAGTATCATTAATACATATCTGTTTCTGCAGGAGCTTTTCTCTGCAACCCAGAATCCTATTTGCCTTTTTCATGGTTGCATTGCTCTCTCAGTCCATAGTCATTCTATGAGCTGTTATGATTGCAGCCTCCCTGTTCATTTCTAGTTGATAACTCCCAGCTTAGAGCTACAATTTCAATTGTTCCTTGTTTTATTCTTGTACTCCTGAAGTACATTTAGTTTCTGTTGCTCAAGTCAGCTAGTTCTTTCTATGTGAAGCTCCTATCTTCTGCACTGATGATGCATCTCAACTTTATCAGCGTTTTTCGTTAATATGGTATTAGCTACCTTTGCTGTTTGGCCTCCAGAAGGGAAAGCCTTACACTTGCATATGAGACTCCTTTTGAAGCCTAACTTTCTGAATGGTGTCACTGTCTTTTGTTCGTCTTTATAACTGAGAATTTTACTTGATGTGTAAGTTTTTCCAACAGGGATTTTTATCACACCCCAATTCTGGAGTTGGAGAGTTTTTTGTAAAGATTGATTCCACGCTGATAGTATAAAGTGGTCCTCCACAATGCTTTCTTTAAATTACTCCTTTTATTCTAATTGTCTGAGTTTATAATACCATAGGCACTATGGTATTACAAGTGATACATAATGAGAGTATGTACTGTGTTCCTTTTAATCTTGTCACATATTCATAAACGGAGTTTTCCTACAATAATGAATGTTTATAGGACATTAATGACTTATGCCAGACCAAAAATGACACTTTTAAACTATAACAGTAAAATAACAGGAATTGTAGTTTTTTAAAAATTAGGTTCTTTAAATAGTAGCCTGAAATTTGAGAATCTTAACAATTTAATTTGAGAAAAAGGAACATAAAAATTACTCAGAATTGTCTGAGTTGCCTGATGAGTTAAGAGGCACCTGTGAGTAAAACTGATGCGTGGACACATATTGATAGACATTTAAACCTGACAGATTTTAAGACTGTATTTCTTGCATGAAACATAAATGCCATTTCCTGCAGACTGGAATGATTATCTTTCAATTTTATTTTTTTTTGCTAGAGACATGCTTTAATACCAGGTTTTTATCATAGAAACCATAAAAGAGTACATTTGCTTTTTAATGAAGGCTTTTCCCCATCTCTGCTCCTTTCCCAGGTCATTTAGTGAATGCATTGGTTCACATCTGCTAAAATGCTGGATAGGATAGAATGGTTTGTAAGTGCATTTTTGCTCTGTGGAGACTTCGTGTCCAGCAGAAGTGACAAAAGAACCTCAATTACCACTTTGTCATTTATGAAAGCTTCTCATAAAAACTCTGCACTGTTTGCATCAAATCTTTAGAGCTTCATTTTTTATATTATCAATAGTCACCTTGAGAAAAAATATACATACGTGTATGTGAGTGTGTGTGTGTGCATATAGCATACATTTCTGTGTGTAAATGTGATTGGGCAGTACACACCGTCTTTAAAACAGTAGGAGGCAGTAGGAAAGCGTTGCTTTGGAGTTTCCTGGTCTGAAATTCTCTTGGTTGCCATTGTATTCATAAACGTTGAGAAGTCAACCCAACAAGCCACAGCTATTTCAGTGGAGGCCAGCTTGGTTGGTGGTTTGTGTTAAGGTGATAATGGATTTTCTTACAAAATATACCATCGTTGCCAAAAGCACAATGAAGGTCTTAGACACTGCATCTGTAAATTTCTCTGTAGGAAGTCTGTGTTGCCTACTGTTCTGATTAAAAAAGCTACTGGTAAATTTTGGCACTAGGACTGCTATCAATTGTAGAAAAATAATTGCAAAGTAATTGCACCAGGAAAAATGAAAACAATTACTGCAAATAAATTAAAAGTAAATTCTGCCCAGCAAACTCAAATAGGACACATAAGGGTAAAATGGATCTTCTCTTGGAGCTTTCTGATGTTTACCTAGGGAGCCTGAAATGGACTGGGCTGTTTGCCCAAGGCAGTAAAGAAGAGGGGAGTTGCTTCATCATTTAGCTATAGCTACTCTGGGAGCAGCTAAACTTGTACTTTTCTTTTTTGCTTCCTGAGGCTCAAATAGACTTTCTTCCATAAGGATTTTTCAGTTTTCCTCTTGCACTGGACTTTATTTCCCCCGTCCAGCTCCTGTATCTTTTTCCCTGGGTGACAGTTCTCAATGTGTTGAAAATGTTCCAAAGATACAGCTCCTCTCAGCCCCTGCCCCATCCCAGATGAGGAGGCTGAGGGGCCATACTAAAAAGCGATGGATAGATACTGCCCTTGAATACTGGCATTAATCCACAAATTTACAGAAAGAAAAACAGACTTTTCTGTGGGCTGATATGGTTCAGGACTTGGCTTTTTTTTTTTTTTTTTCTCCTATGCTTGGCTGCTGTGTGCAGTTTCTAGATAGCACTTTAAAATACTGCAAATTACTTTTCACACAGAAAGTAAGTGGGGAAAAAAATGTTTCATGGAATTCTCTGGACATCAGATGTATTAATTGTATTTTAGCTATTATAGAAATTACTGTAATTTCAGCTCGTGTTCTCATGTGTGTACGGCAGACGGCAGCTTCTTTGTCGGCAGGTCTGCTTTGTGAATACAGGCGTACTCACCGGAACATTTGCATTTGATTTCAAAGGTGACTGGAGTGATAATGATTTACTAATGTATACTTGAGTGAGTTTTAAGCTCAAATACTTACAAAAACTGATTATAATATATTCAATAGTAGAATCTGCAGTTGCTGCTGGACTGGTTAGTTACATAGAGAGTTGCCAGGGACCAAAATCAATATTAAGAGCAACATGCCATATAACTGCCCACCATATCAGACAGCAGAGGCATTTGCAATTTTCAAAGAATTTGTAAAGCAGGAGTTGCTTTAAAAATAGTGTGTTTCACTGCCAATAATACCTGTTGTGGCTTGTTCATGGGAGAGTGAATAAGCTCATTTTAATGGCTTTTTTATAATGTGTCCTATTTCTTGTGATCATTTACCCATTTGGTCAATGGTGATGTAGCTCGAGGTCTTGCCCTTGGTCCAGCAGTCTCAGCTGAATACAGCTATTTTCTTGCACGAAGAATAGCCCTAAATAAGGAGTGCTGTCAGAAGACTGAGGGATTTGATCATCTTCTGCACTTCTCCAACTGCCTGAATTACCTTTATATGAATTAATATTAGCTATGAAGTATAGTTGGGGAGTTTGTGGTAAAGTCGGAAATAGTCCCTAATCTGGGAAGATGCAAGTGTTTTATTGCACATTTACACAGGTGATCCACATCTCTGTGTCTCGTTAAGCACCAAAGGCCTGATATTTTCCATGCCACAAAGAAGTCTGGGTGACAGTATAACAGAGCTGAGGACAGCTGATCAGAGGATGTGGAGCCCCACAAGAGTGCCCTTGGTTCACTTCAGTGCCAGGAACTGATCTAGGGTCAATGCGCTGGCTGCAAGTGTTTGCTTGACCACATGTTGCTTCTGGCCGGTGTGTTCAAACTGCTGGAATTTCTTCTTTATTGTGTCATAAGGCATCTCCTCCTCTCCCCAGCTCCCGCTTAAATCAGTAGTTTTTCTGACTTTATCATTTTAGATATGGTCCCTAACTGAACAACTTTTCCGTGTGTTTAATTAAAAGACTGCTATCCGTGTGTCTTCTTTTTTGGGGCTTCACAGCTCCACCAGGTACTGGAGAATAAAAACTACGCATGTAGTGGAGCAGTTGGTATTTTTTGATAGTCCAAGAAAATTTCTCCTCTGCCCTGCATCTCCCTATGGCTTTTAGTCCCTCTGTGCTATATTTCTTGTTCTGTCCTTCAAGATGGCCATGTTCAATGTGCTTCAGCTTTCTAAATAGTGGAAATTATGTGAGGTGTTGCTTCTTGCTTTAGTTCAGTTCTCTCCTGCTGGTTACAATCTCTACCATGCACATTCATATGGAAATCAGAGCCATGGAGATGTCTGTAGGTAGACCACCCTGATACCTAGGCTTTTCCTCCTCTGTCTCCAGTTGTACTTTTGTTCCAGTTACTTAGCTCACTGTCGACCTTTCCTCTTTGTGTTCACTGATGGAAAATATTTACATACTTTCTGTGCATGACATGACTTCAGAACAGTCTGCAGCCCAGTGTGCCATTCTAATGTTTTTCTGAAGCTGACAAAGCACTTCAAGTTTTTCCTCTTGACCTTTGTGCATTAGTCCAAAATGAGGCTTAGCACAGAGTTCACTACATCATCCAAGTGTCTTTGTAGAAATTAGTCTATGCCTCAGTGTCCTTTGACTCTCTCAGGAAGAAAAGGATTTGCACAGACAGATGGTTGAAGAAATTGCTCCGTGACTTCTGTAGTTCTGCAGGTAACCTTTTTTTGGGTATCGTCAAGTCTGATTTCATGAATCTACCATAAGATAATGTCTCCAGCTCTGATTGTCTCTGCTGGTACGTTATCCTTCCCTAACTGCTGTTCAGCTGCTCTGGCAACTTCTAGCTAGGTGTCATTTGGTTAAACATTTGGTTCTACAAATCACTGATTGTTTTCCTTCAGTCCCTTACTTTCTGCAAAAGTCCTGTCCGTACTCAACCCGTATCGTCCTACCCATATTCCTTCTAAGGACACAAAACCATCCTTGCCCCAAATGGCACAGATTTTAAGCTGGACTTCAGCTGATAGTGCTTCCAGTTCAAATTGCCTTGTTCCACTTGGATTCCTCCATGCCTGAGGACTGTTCATTGAAACATCTTTGCCTGTTTGTATTCTCCAGTCTCTTGGGTTTCCAGATAGAGGGTGTTCTCCAATATTGAGGGCTTCTTTAGTGGTCATCGTGTTCTCTTTTACATCTGAGGTGGTTTACTAAACAGGCAGCAAGTGAGGATGATAGCAATGTGCAGTTGAATGTTCCACATCCTTAAAGTCCTGGCAGAATTTGTTAGTCCTTATTCAGTCTTTCCAGTGCCTTCAGTTTGTACCTGATTGGCCTTTGCATCTCACCCTTCTCATGGGTTGACTGAAATAGTGCTTGATAGCTGCTGAAAACAAGACAGGACTATGACCTGAAAAGCCACCTCATCTGAGGAACCTCCACTGCTGAGAGTCTGCGTTCACCCAGCATCTTATTTAGCAAGATAAAGCCCTGTCAACAGCAACTGAAAATAATTTTTTGTGCCCCTACTCCCTTTATTTTTAATTTGGCTTATGTTTGGACCTCTTTGCTAACTGAAACCCAGGGCCAGAATTGCATTGCCTGGTTGGAATTTAGACAACTCATGGTCTATGTAACTCTGATGGATATGGATGAAGAATGGTAGGAATTACTGAATCCAGTAGCTTGACAGAAGGAAAAGTGCCACATGGCCATGTCCCCAGGTCCAGCAGCAAGTCTGTGCATCTATTGTTTCTTGGTGCACACACACACACACACAATACTATATCTACAGTCAGCCACACAGAACAGCACAGGCAGAAAATATAGCACTCGTGGGAACACAAGTAATAGAAAATATATGCATATATACAATACAGATCCTTCCAGTAGCTGCATTTAGACACTCAGTCTGCCAAATGGTTGGCCTGTGGATCCCCATATCTCCCCAGCTGATAGCCTCTGGGTCTGTAGCCTCAGCGCAGTTGCTGGTACTCAGACCTTCTCCCATACAAATGGTCACAGAAACACGTGTGCTATGGATCCCTCCCGTAACTGACTTCAGAAAGTCAATGTTATGCAGTAGCTGGCCCCTGGACCCTCTGTCCTTCCAGATACCTGGTGCACAAACTCTCTTGCACACACTCACACACACACGTGTATAGGTCTCTGGCAGCAGGTCCAAACCTGTGGCCCTGCTGGTGGCTGACACCCAGATCCTCTGGTCTTTCTAGTAGATGGCTTGGAATGCCTCGTCCCTCCAGGTGAACTGCAAAGCCTTTCCTATTGACTTATCTGCTGGGTGTCATGCCCAGATCACAGGCTGATCATTCTCCTTCGACAGGCTTGAGAGTAGCCTAGTCAGTGTGCTTGTTGTCACTGATTATGTTCTTGGGATTCTTTCATCTTCATTGTTCCTTTGCTGCTTTGTCTTCACATACTTTATGAAGCCTTTAATCACATACCCTAATGAAGAAGAACTAGAGTCTGTGACCAGGGCAAGAAGTCTTTAGGCAACACTAAAAAGACTTCATAAATGTAGTAATGTCAAGATGGTAGCAGTAGCAGAACAGATGCTTTTGTCAAATTTGTTGTGGGACTGAAACCAAATGAGACAATTTATTACGCTTTAAGACTCCATGGTCTCTATGTATGCAATAATAAATGTTGGTCTGGTATAGATTTATGTTAGCACAGGCATTTTCATATCTATGAAAATTCAACCTTTGAGTATCATATATCAGGAAAAGTATTGAAGACTAGCACAAAAAATTAACTTCTCAAAGATTTAGAGGACAATTTAGCTGTGATATTAGAAATGTTAAATGCTGAAGGATTCCAGTCTAAGGATCTCTTCAGCAGCTTAATATTTTTAATTATCCTGATTTTAGTATGGTACAGTCTTGCACATTAGTTACTGCCAAGGATTATTTGTAAATCAACAAACATGGTCCTTGTTATAGAATATGCTGATGGGGTGAGGGAAATAGAAGCCATGGCTGAATGTTTTAGCAAATCTCCATACCATGTTCTTGAAGACGCTTTTAGACTCTTCCCATGGCAGCTATGGAAGAACAGATAACAGTGGTCCCTTCAATAGCACTGACAGAGAATTGGAGAATGTGTGGTGTTGTCAGAATGAACAATAAATTAATTGCAGGAATTTAAAGGACTGCTCTTTGCAACAGAAATAGTGTTCTCCATGCAGAACTCCAAACAGGAAGCTTGCTCCTTCTAGTTGTAGGCATCTGAATTCACTTTGGGGGAACTCCTGCTGGCTTAATGGCACGTAGGGAGAAAATGGGTGGCATCTCAGTAAGTCCTTAGCTGAACATCCAGCTAGCAGTGAGGCCCAGCTGTGCTTCTGGCTGAGGTATTTACTTTGCGTCATGGCCCAGACTTGCAGAAGTCTTTTCTTCTCCTGGCTTACATCTAAACCAGAATTTAAAAACAGAATTTACAAACAGCTATCTTTATCTGTATTTAAAGACCTGATTTATCTCTTTTGGATGTCAGTGGGCATTTTCCCATGGACTTTTAAAGTAAGTTAACTGAAGTTCAAAAATAAACATCTTTTACATTGTTTTTTGTCTAATAGAATAAACACAACCCTTAGCTAAAGTCAGTGGAAACAAAGTTACATCAACGTTGAATGCTCTGGAAATTCTGAAACTTAGTGTTGAGTATTAGAACATCCAATATTAAAGGATTTTTCCCCTTCTTCCCAAACATTTGGATTTACATAATGCAACACAGTGAAAAATACTTCAATGCAATAATGTGCCTTTCGTGTCAGGCTCAAGAAGAGAACGTTGTGGATATCGTATCCTGCGTCGCCATCGTAATTCAGAAGATCAGGTGCATTGCATTGGCAAAACTAAGAAATACAATGAGACGGCAACCCGCGTAAAAGAGATCCTCCTCAGCACAGTCAGTCCAGAGCAGTTTGTTTTAACACTACTTGAAGCAGAGCCTCCCAATGTGTTGGTGAGTCGTCCCAGCAAGCCATTCACGGAGGCCTCCATGATGATGTCCCTGACAAAACTGGCTGACAAAGAGCTTGTTCACATGATTGGCTGGGCCAAAAAAATTCCTGGTAAGAATTTCAATCTTGTTTCTGTTTATTTTATTCAATGCTTTTACCGTCAATGTATCATTTTCTACCCTGAAATAATAGCACAGCACAGTAAATGTGCGGTATGAAAATCTCAAGCTTTTTATCCTATAAAGTAATAAACTATTTATTGCTCTCAGGAATTCTCCTGGATGTGCTTTGATTTAGACAGTGACCTAGCCCGTAATTTGCTATCTGTTGTCAGTCAGACACTTGTTCATTTTGCTAAAAAGCATAGTTGGTGTTACATGTAATTTCTACCTCATCAACTATAAATACCTGATTAATCTGATTTATAAGCTTCATTAAAGGGATATTAACTAGATTGCTATAAAAAGAATTTAAGACCAAATTCTTTCCTTGAATTGTGATAGAAGGTTTCTAATACAGTTGATGAAAACTGAAGTGTGTCCAAGCACTGAGTATCTGCAATTGCTTCAGTTGACATAGTTGCTACATAAGAGCATCAGATTGCTCAGTTGCGCATAGTATTGATCTCAGAATTATTGTGCGCTGTCCTTCAAAACAAAAATCAATAAGGATGCTTTTGGTTGCTGGCAACACAAAGAATATGCACTGAAGTACATCTACGTGCATTATTGCCTTGAATGTCTCAAATGCGACCACAGTCTCATGGCAATGTACCCTTTCACTTACAAACTAGAAACGGTGAGCATTTGCAATTCCTTCTGCTTGAAGTACCCATGATTAAAACAGTCAGAATAAAGAATATAAAAGCCAGAATAAAAGCAGCCAGCACATGAGAGAAGATAGTTGGCAAAGTTGTACAGCAAAACTTGCTGGTAGCATAGACGAAACTGCAGACTGTGGCCCTTTAGCGAGACCTAAGGTGACTAACTAATAATAGTGAGCTGAAAGAAGCATTGACTAATTGATAGACGTGTAACAGCATGGGGCTTTATCCTTAACTTCAGATATAGTGCTCTGCTAGAAGTAATCCCTACAGCTGTGTTTACCTTGCATGCTAAGATATTTTGCAGGGCGTCTGGTAGTCCTAACCTCACATCCATCAGGCCTGAGGAGCCAGCACACCATGACTTGTCTCTTGGCTTTTATGCTGAAGGCAACCAGAGCGTGCTGGTGCATGCCCTGGTCTTGTCATGATTGTCCAGTAGAAACAGCGCTTACTGCTGCTTGAATACACACCTAGGAAGACATGACAGTAATTCTTATGTCTAGAAATAAAATGTGTACACAGTACAGGAAACAAGCTTGGTGGAGAATATTTCATATAATCCTTAAAGTAAGAATTTAGGATAAGGGGAGCATATCCTATTTCAGACCTAGTTGGAGTGGCTGAATGTGCTACCAGCTGTAGCTGCTGGACCACATCTCCTAGTTGCAACTTACAGTCTCCACGGCTGAGCCGCTGTGTTGCAGGGTTCAGGTGTGAAGGTTTTAGGGTGTCCAAATTCCAGGTCAGCTGCTGGGTTGCTGGGGGGAAAATCTTAAACCATGCTAGCCATTTGCAAAATGATAGTGGTTTTGCCATTAATGTGCAATGTTTTAAACTGAGAGCCTGAATCCTCAATCCTTATTTTTCCTTATTTAAAAAACTCTGAAAATAACTGTAAAGTAACTAACAAGAAGGGCTTAAGCGGCGTTTATTGCTATAATTTCTTGTCTGATCAGAAAAACTTGATTAAAAGGTAGTTTTTCAATGGACTCCATATAGTTACGTTAATCCACTAGGAAGTGAATTGTGAAGGAAAACCAGAGAAAGTCTTAGAAAATGACCTTATTTTAAGCAATATTTGAATGGGAAAAACAACCAAAACAACCTTTTCCATTTTCTGATTGTTCTTAATTTCTATTTTTTTTTAAGTATGTCAGCTTTTTTAAAAAAAAAAACAACCCAAACAACCAACAACCGAAACCAAAACAACCACAAACCTAAAACCTCAGCCAGTTCAGTTTAATTTTTTGAATTTTTTAAAAGATCAGTTTCCAAACCAACCCCAATTTTGACACTGATCACTTTTGGTTTATTTTCAACATCTGTCAGAAATAAAAACATTTTCTTGGCAATAAGAAAACTGTATGAAGAAAATCCATTGAAGCAGTCAAACCTCTTCAAAACAGTTCCTGGGAATGTTGACACTTTATCGTGTATGTTTGTTTTTTCTGATCACTACTGTTAAACAGAACAGAAGTAAACACCACTTTAGAACAATGCCAAAAATAGATTTGGTGTTTAATATGTACCTAATTATAAGTAATATTGCCACATTACATGGTAGTTAGATAATTTACTTGAATGTGGACTTATTTATTTTTTCCATTAAAAAATAACCGTGATGACTAAAGCTTAGGACATAGAATTTCAGTATTCAAAAATTCTTGCCTGAAGTTAATCATCTAGATACATGCTCTGCTTTCCTGGAGGAAAGGTCTTAGAAAAAAAATAATACAGAGTTCTTCACTAATGGCCCAATGAACAGTAATTGTACTTTCTGTAAAGCTGAATATTTGCTTTTGTGTACCTGGGTAAGAAGCCCATTTTCACCTCAAAATTATTATTGGATATTATTTTGACACTCACCGAAAGTGAAAGAAAATCTTTTTATTTTTCCTTATAGATGCTGATGTTAACAGTAACTTTTTGCCGCAATAGGAAAGAAATTTTTTTTTTATTTAATATTTAATGACCTCCTTTTGTTATGAGTTTTACTCTGTGACTGTATTTTTTCTGTACTTTCAGCTTAATGGGTTGTATTTTTGTTGTTGCTCAGTAAAATAGAAGCTGACACCTGGACTTTTTTCCTTCTGAATTCCAAGTATTTTAATTCTAAGTTGTCAGATGGCAGAACATAACTTCTATAATTGCCTTTTACTTTGTGGGCCTAGTCTAAGAGAGTCGAACATGGTTCGTAGCTGAACCTGTGTTGCTAATCCATAGGATGTTGTCTTAATATTGAAATTTGGATTCATTATGCAACCTTATGTGTTGCTGGCCAGAACAGTATGTCTTTTGCTAGTCACTACACATCCAGCACAAGTTCTTTCTTATCTGTCTTAGTAATTTATAATTAAATGATTAGGTATAGAGCATACGATTTAAAGGACATGTACCACAGCCATACTAAAATAAGTACTTTAATGTAATCATCTGTATCAAATGAAATGGGACTTCTGACACTGCTGTGCTCAACGGTTGTAAATCATACTGCTGGTGCTGATAATGCAAGTTTAGCAGATGACATCCAGGATAAATCTGGATGTTTAAGTATCTGTAGACTGAACTCTGGGACTTGGTCTGACATCTTGCTCAACTGAGATAGTTTGTAAACCAAATAACTGGCTGTTTATGCTAGAGAAATCAGCAAATACCCATGTAAATGTTTACTTAAACTTCTGAAATGTCTTTGGGCTGCTGTTTCCCAGGAAACTGCCACTGTCAGTTTATACTATTCACACTTATTATTTTTCTAAATGCACTTTTAAAATTGTGACTGTACGTCTGGCAGATAATCTGTTGTTGGCTCTGAATTCTGTGGTAAATTCTGTGACAGCGAAATCCAGGAGGGAGGGTTCCGCTCATAGGCTCCTGTTTACCCTTCTCATAAAATAAGAAGCAAGGATATGGATTTTGAAAGGCAGCACTTCTAGAAATTATAAGAGAGAGAGCGCTTTACCCAGTTTATATCAACACAGGGCTGTCATGACTGTCTTGCAGCCTAGTAGTTGCCTAAGATTAAAATACGTGGAGCATTTGTATAAATTACTGACAGCAGATTCTTTGACAGCGCAAACATACTACGTGTATTTCAAGGCCTCAGACAACTGGAAAGAGCTGTGGGAAAACTGTCTTCCATGGTCAGGCTGTGTATTTTTCTCTGTGCATAGTCATAGAGATGAGCTCTGAAAATGAAGCAGGTTTGCTAAGATACCCATCTAGTGCAGCTCTGCTTTGAAAAACTGTGGCCTGATCTTGGTTTTAAACGCAGGTGTGGTTTGACCACTGCTCTGATTGTCATCGTATCTGTGTTTTATTCCTTGACTGAGCAGTCTGCTTTCCCACTTGCATTTTGACAATTCACACTTCTGTTTTTTTTTTGGTTTGGGTGGGTTTTTTGTGGGTTTTTTGGTTGGGTTTTGGTTTTGGTTTGTGGGGGGTTTTTTTGCATGTGTGTAATTTTTATTTCTCTTTATTTGGCTTCTATGCATCTTTTTTCCCCCAGTCTTTTCTGCAGGGGAAGGGAAAGGGAGGGCAATGACTGTCTCTCCCTTCGGGCTGTTCTGCAGTGCTATCTGATGTGTTGCTGTAAGTTCTGGACAAAACTAAATGCAGGAACAGGCTTATGCACAATTGCATTAATTCTCTTCTTGCTTCTGGGATGCTGTGTATGGAGGCAATGGGGGCAATACTACCTTCACCAATTACCCGTCTTTTTTTTTTTTTTTTTTAGTTTTTCACATTTTTTGGGAAGGGGGTGTCAGGAAAGGGATGGGATGGGTTGGGATGGGGTCAAAACATGTCATTTACAAAGGGCATGATAACACAGAAGCACCAACATGCGGGTTCTTCCATAATTACCAACAAACCTAGAAACAGGCCTGTCTTTTGAGATAAAAAAACCCTGCAAGTGACAACTATATGCATTCTGGGGAAAGAACAGACTATTTTCTTAGGAGTCCTCTACAGTTGAAGACAGTAATCTCTGACAAATGTGAGTTTCCCGAGTGATTCTCTGATGCCTCTCAGGAGGCTGTGGGACCATCATCTAAAGAGATGGCCAAGCATAAGGCAGGTCTTCTGCAGTCACTTGAGTTTCACCAGCTGTATGGGAGTAATTGCCCTTGAACGTCACTCTGCTTTATTTCAAATGTTTTGTGGGAGATTTGACAATGATAATAACAAATATTTATGTTCCTGTTTGAGATGGCAGCACGATCCTTCTGATGTTAGTGGTCCTTTTCTGGTTTTCTTCACAACCCCTAATTCTTTTTGTTTCTTTTTGCTTTATGGTATACTGAGTCTTCTTAATCAAAACAGAGAAATAAACAGCTTGATTTATTTTATGCTATTTTCATCATTTTAGGCTTCATTGATCTCAGCCTTTATGACCAAGTAAGACTCTTGGAGAGCTGCTGGATGGAAGTTTTAATGGTTGGTCTGATGTGGAGATCAATCGACCATCCTGGGAAATTAATTTTTGCACCAGACCTTGTACTAGACAGGTAAGAGGAATAAACTTCTTGAGAACACTTCATATTAGCATGTTTGAAGGTGGGGTGAATGGTAAGAGGAAGAGGCTTAATTGTGAGAGATGCTATTAATATTTTATCTAGCAGTATAATTTACTTGTATTTGTAACAATAATGTCTTGAGGTTCCACATCCTTACAGGGGCTTAAGGAATGCTAAGCATAAACAGTATTGTTGATCTTGCCAGTTCCTTAATTCCTGTAGCACATAACAGTATGAAGTTTCTCTGTATTTTTCACATATTTTCTTGGTTTTGTTCCTTTTGGTCCAGGTCTCTAGATGCTGAAATTGTAGATGCATCAACACAATGCACTATATTGTCAATCAATTTCTTCCAGCTGATAGATTTTCTCCCCCAACCCTCAAAAAAAGCAGACACAGTGTCAGGTCATATTTTAATTATTTTAAGTGGCATTTCTACCTGTTTTTCTTCCTGCCCCTAGTGCAGACTTCATAAATAGCTATAATAACATTGCAGCACTAGTCAAAAGGGATTTAAAAAAAACCCCTAGCTTGCTTTTTAATACTGAAAGTATTTTTTTCAAGCTAAAGCAGGGTGTGTGTAAGATTAAAAATTATTTCTACATAACATCATGTACCGGCAGGGAATAATATGGATTAATAAGGGTGTTTTTCTACAGAACCTTAGCATGATTTGGCCTGGGATTCACATTGGTAAAAAGTCAGGGAAATAATCTACTCTCTTGGGTAGGTTTAAAATGTCTCTTAACCTTTTCAACCTGGGGAAATTCAGATCTGTACCAGTTCTGTGGCTTGAGCTCAATAAAAGTCATCATCGTAGATACAGAAAGCAAAATGGGTTAGTAAGAGGAGTAAATTTAATTTATAAAAGGTATGAAATAAATTATAATTTGCTCATATGAAATTCAGTGCAAGGACACACTGTGTTGTTCAATGCAATGATAAACAATTGCTGAAAATGTATGATACATTTAGTTCCTCGGGAGCTAATACGTGCTGAATAGAGTGAGCTTATTTGATGCATTCCTTCATCTCCACAAGACACAGCAGAGTGGGAGCTATCAAGCATCTGGGCGTGCTGTGATTTTATTTTTTTTAAGACATGCGTATATGAAACTGGTCTGTAACTTGATTGTTTTTATCTTAGCTGAACTTCAGATACATTTCCTACGTAATCTTTGTAGACAAGTACTTCTCTAATGCTCGTGTCTTTGTTTTGAAGCTGTCCTTCTCCAAACCTTAAAATTCTCCTTTGCTATGAGGAACATGGGCAACTGGGCACTATTCAGGCCTTTCTGAGGGCAGTACTTGCTGCACCTGCGTGGTGTTATTTGCCTGTGCCTGCCTCGCAGCCTGAAGGCTCAGAACCTTCCTCTTAGGATCCAGTAGAGGAGTAAAGTTCTTTCAATTCTCGTGCACTGCTGTGCTTAAGTCTGTCTCATCTTAAAAAAGTTACAGAAAAATATCTCATATTGGAGATAGTATAAGAAGCATCCCTTTGAATAGAGCTTAATTGCTTTTTTAGTCTAGTACATGTAAAAAAAAAAAAACTAACTAAAAAACTGGAACAGTAACTTCACTGGTTTGAAAAAATCTGCTGCTTATTTCTAAAGCCATTGGAATGGCTTAGGCTTGTCTGGGGTTTTTTTCAGATCAGAAAATGGGACCATTTCTAACATCCAAAATGGAGAAAGTTGCACTCAGCAAACACTTGCAAACATAAAAATAACCAAACCACAAAACCACCCAAAACCCCAAAAATCTATTTACATTTAAACACCTTCAAAGAAAAAAGTGCTGGGGGATCAAAGTGGAGGTTGGTTTATTCTTTTAAATGTCTTATTGTTCCAAGAAACTTATTTTAGGGGGTCTTTCTTATTCACCAAGTCCTGAGGCCTCCATCAGGTACCAATAATGATGTCACCGGTTGTGGTAGTAACTCCTTGTGAAAGAAATCTGGAAGATGATTGAAGGTGGTACTGTGCCCTGTACTATTTTCAGATGGAATATGCAGAATTATATGGGCTGTGAGGATAAAGCCTCTTACAGAAATATGGTCATACTTACCTGCGGTCAGTCCTGCAGGTACTTTACAGAGAAAATCAGTTTCTTAGAGGTGCTGACTTTTTTCACCAGTGTAATTTTCAATTTAGATTTCGTGATAGAACTTTTTGAATTCTCATGAAGATGAGACGGATAAGCCTTTTTCTGCCTCCTTTAGGCTTTGACTTTTATCTGGCTGAGTCAGAGTTCCTTAATTCTACCTTTTCGGTAATGTTTCAAATGTGTTTCCATAGGGACGAGGGAAAATGCGTAGAGGGAATTTTGGAGATCTTTGATATGCTCCTGGCCATGACCTCAAGGTTCCGAGAGCTGAAACTGCAGCACAAGGAGTATCTATGTGTCAAGGCAATGATCCTCCTCAATTCCAGTGAGTACACAGTTGACTCTGATGCTCACCAAATTCTACTTTTTATTTCGAGGGTGGCTGGGAAATCAGCCTCTAAAAATGGCAGAAGTATCAAATGAGATAAAGCTGTTGAAGGAGAACAATAGGAAAGGACTTCTAACCATCAGATTTTAAGGATTTTTGCTAGAGAAACTTCTAAACTGTATCATTTGCTGGATTTAGGGTCCATGTCCTGTTGTAAAAACTGCCTGAAACACAGTCTGTGTGGATCCTTCTCATGCGTAAAGTTGCTGTACAGCTCTTACAATCCTGTTCTTAATTCCAGTAAAACTAGTCACTCAACTGAGTGATGATTAATTGGGCTTAAATGTTGCTATTTAATGGTAATTAATTGGTAGAAATTATTGAAAGTACTCAACAGTTCTGCAAGATGAATTTCAGGATACGAGCTTTGCTTTGCAGCCTTTCACACAAAGCAAATGGGAGTGTGTGTTTGCTAGTTTAGGGTAGTCTGCAGTAAAATTTTATTCCCCAGAACATGTTGTAATTAATGTTGTCAAAAAAAAACAACAAAAAAATAACATCTAACTATTTACATCTACTGTTTTCAGCAAGGAGCTACTGCATAATTCTCAGCCAATTCTGAAAGAGAATAGTTCAGCTGATATTCCACTTATTTATTTCAACAGACAACAAAACCTGTTCTTTTTTTCTTAAAAAAACCCACAACAACAACAACCAACCAACCAAAAAAAAAAAAAAAACGCAACAAAACCCCACGTTCATCAGCCATATTTTTTTCAAGACCTCACCTCTCAAAAAATCTCTCCTTTCACCTCTCCCTGCTCTCCTTTCTTGACAAAGTTAATCTTTTAGTCCTAATTTTCAAGGTGTTCTGGAGCTCTGTCCCTCCACAAGTATCTTTGAGAGGATTTTTTTTTTCCCCAGGTCTCTTCTGCTCTATCAATAATGTTATTATGTGTTTCCAGACCTTCCTAGTGGTGATTTTTTTCTCTTTCCTCTATCCCCTTTTTTTGCTTTCGCTGATTTCTAAGGTTTCTCACTGTGGGCTGTGCTGTATTATGGCCCCCTTAGTGAGCTGTAGGGAGACCATGGCAGGCTTCATCTATGAGCAGTGTCTCTCACCATGTTCTTCTCCCTCCCTAAGACATACTCAGAGAAAAAAGTCTTTTTTCATCAAGAAGGTATTAGAGCAAGCACAATGTTATAATAGTTACTAAACTAGCACAATGTCATAATAGTTACTAAACTAGAAGGTACAGAGTGATTCAAAAAAAATCCAGGAAAAACCCCTGGAGAATGGAGGGCACGTCCGTTCTCTGGACTGAAGGGTCTGTTCAACATGTTGTCCTAGGAGGATTTGGGAGAGTTACTCGGTTTGCAAATGATGTGGCCAGCAAATTTTGGCGAAGGAATGTAAGTCGGAGCTTGGTGTGGCACATGGAGCATCGTTTGTACAGTCTCGAGGGGGGGCTGTCAGGAAATGTACCTTCTCTAATCTTGCTGAAATATTACATCAGAAAAAAATCCACAGTCGTAGCTTTTTTTCCTTCCTCATGAACCAGGAGTATTTCTTTCTCTTCTCTGGTTAGGCATGTTTCCCTTGTCAGCAGAAGAACCTGAAAGCAACAGGAAACTGCATCACCTGCTTAATGTAGTCACAGATGCGTTGGTGTGGGTTATTGCAAAGAGTGGAATCCCCTCGCAGCAGCAGACAACTCGTCTGGCCAATTTGTTGATGCTTCTCTCTCACGTCAGGCACGCAAGGTAAATTTTACAGAATGTGTGTAACACGCGAAGCGTTAATGTTCATTTATTACAGCAACAAAGCAAGGCTTGAACACCAGAGCACTCCCGAGGGAATCCTGGCACTGCTCTCCATCTCTGTTCATTGTAAGGTTTTCCTTCCTAGCAGAACTAAACAGGCAATATACTCAAGTGCTTGCTGGCACTCAAAAATTTTGTGTTGATATTAAGATGCTGCCTTAACTGTATTACATTAAATTGTTCATTATGTATCTGCCTGAAATGTTTAACATTAATAACACAAATTCAGCCTTTCAAATGAAAAACCAACCCAGTCATGAAAACTCTTCCGTCAAAAATCATGGAATCATAGAATGGTTTAGGTTGGAAGGGACCTTCAAGATCATCTCGTTCCAACCCCCCTGCCATGGACAGGGACACCTCCCGCTAGACCAGGTTGCTCAAAGCCCCATCCAACCTGGCCTTAAACACTTACACGAGTGGGGCCTCCACAGCTTCCCTGGGCAACCTGTTCCAGTGCCTCACCACCCTCAGAGTGAAGAATTTCTTCCTAGTATCTATTCTAAACCCTAATATGCATTCTAACTCTACCCTCTTCCAGTTTGAAGCCATTACACCTCGTCCTATCACTACATGTCCTTGTAAAAAGTCCCTCTACAGCTTTCTTGTTGGTGCCCTTCAGATACTGGAAAGCTGCTATAAAAATGAAAGTTTCTTTCAAAACTGATCTGCAGTGTGGACTTTGGTGGTGCAAAGTGTACGTTGGATGCCATGTTTCTCCCAGACAAAATTTGTTGTCTTTTATTTGGAACCACAGCATTTTTGCCTAGTGACTCATGCTACAGTGATGCCATGCTCCTGCTTTCCCCATGGGAAGCAGCTCCTCTGCTCCCTGCCAGTTCCTGGACCTCCTTGAGCTGCTCATCTTTGCTTGCAGTACAGCAGACTCAAATGCGGGGTGCTACAAACAGATGCATTAATTTTCAGGCAGCTTAATTATTACCCAGAGACCAGCTATTCACAAAGCTGTCTTATGTCTTGGCTTTGGACTGTGTGTCCAGTGAAGATGGTCCTGGGACCAGGCTGGAGCATGCAAAGGAGAGATGGGCATATCTGACTTTGTGTAGGGGCACTGGAAGAGGGAGAGTCACCTTTGCAACAAGCTTCCTGGGGGAGCAGGTGGCAGCAGCAGGGACCTGACTGTGCCAAAAGGCAGCTTGTAACAGCCAGCTTGTGAAGTGGGGGTGAGTTTGAGAGCTGGCCCTGCAGACCTACAGCACCAGCCAGAGCTGAACCCAACTCATGGTTCTGATGCACTGCCGTCACCTGGGTTGCCCACTGTAGTGTGACACTCCATCAGAGCATCACAGGAGCTTTTGTTCTGGCATGGCATGAATAAACACTGTGAATCTTTGCAAAAATTTTGTATTTTCTTATTAAAACAAGAGGTTTTATGCTGTGCCTGCCTCAGCCAAAGTCTGAAGGCTACTTATTGTGACCTGTCTCCTTTACGTTGCTTAGCACTGGTCAGTCAATTATACTTTGGAAAGAATTGTTCCAGAAATAATTGATGCTCTCAGCATTGATTACCAAATGATGCAGAACTCTCGAGAGCTGGGTGTAGGAGGGGAGCCACAATTTCTTCTTTGCCATTAACATATTTATAATTCTTGAATTGTAGCCGAACCTCATTTTTCTGGAGTCATTGCCCCCTCCCAGTCCAATCCACCAGCTCATCTATGTGCTGGCTGTCTGCTGCTACTTCCACTGTGATAAATTTGGTGTTGAGCAAGCCCACTTAGATTTCAACCCCAAAACTTTGAGTGCATCTGACTTGTGCAACTGCAATGGCAATAGTCGTCTCCTGTTGGTCCAAATCATGATACAGCTACAGAGCGTTCAACCTAACAAGGTGTCTTTGTATCTTACTGCAAAACAAAAAAAAATACTTGCAAAGCCTGTAGCCATCTGCAAGATCTGACACTGGACATGCAGAGAGGTAACAAACTGCTTGAAGTTAGCCGGGTAGTTTGGTCTTCTTACTTAACCAGGTAGGAGAGTTAGGTAGTCACTAGAGCTACACATCGTAAATTCCTCTCTTGTATAAAGCTGCAGCCTGTGGGTCTCCACATTGACAGCATCAAAGAGGTGTTGCTCTTAGATTTCAGTAGGGCTGGTACATCTGCGTTATTTTCTGAAGTCTGTGCGGTGTAAACCAAATCTTGGTTCTCTAAATAGTAAAACACTCAGCTTTAAAATATTGGTATGTTGTTAACTGTTGATAGTGGTAAGTGATGTCAGGGACTACAGCAACTAAAGCCTCTTAAGTCCTAATAAAAAAAAAAGGAATCTCTTGAAGCCATGAGCATGTTTTCCTTCTCTGCACTGTCAGACCCGGATGGTGACTGATTTTCTGTTCTCCTTCGCAGTAACAAGGGAATGGAGCATCTCCTGAGCATGAAGTGTAAAAATGTGGTGCCTGTGTATGACTTGCTGCTGGAGATGCTGAACGCGCACACTCTCCGAGGCCAAAGGAAGTCCCCAGTCACACATCCCGAATTTGGCCCATTAGAACAAATGGAGACTGGAGACAGTCTGCGAAATGGGGCAGCCCAGTAATTCTGTTGAGACCTGGAAATGCGAAGCTTGTTCAAAGCTATGGGAGAAAACAGAACTACTGCGATGGGACTGCTGAAATGTGACCTAGTGCAAGCCCTCATCTCTTCTAGATATGCACATCGGTATCTTGGGAAAGGCTTGTGGGATGCACACCTCTGTCCGTGTTTCTGACATTATAATAGCTGCACTTTTATAGTGCCTTTTCTGAGACTCTTCAAAAGCACCTTATGAAATTAAGCCTCAGAACAGTACTGCGAGACAGGGAATTATTGCCTCTCCTTTTTTAGAGGCAGGTGAACTGAGACAGAGAGATAAAGGGCCTGGTTGAAGATGACAGAAGAAGTTTGTGTCAGGGTAGGAGTCAGCACCCAGGTCTCTGACTCCCAGATCGCGGCTTTTAAGCACTGACTAGACATCTCCTCTTTCAGCATGAGATTGTACGAAATGTAGAGCAGCATCGTTTGGGACAGGTTCGCTTACCTGCGTGTGCTGGTCCCTGGGGAATACCTGCTCTGCAGCTAATCTAAAGTGCCGAGATATGTACAGTGTACAGGGGTTTCTTCTATTCTTAAATATGCAATGGCTGCAAGGGCCTTCATTTGAAGGCCATTCAGAACAGCTTCTAGGGACAGTTCAGAGCTTCTTCAGAAATGTTAAGCCAAGCTTAAGCTTGTATTTTGTGAGCCTGTTCTTAACACTCACATTATTATCTATGTATAATTCTTCAGTGCTTTAAACAATGACCAAACTGCCTAGATATTTCAGTCAATGCTGACCTTTGGAATGTGTTTCGTCCGTGAGATTAACATGTTGTTTTATATATTTATTAATGATGTTAAATCTATTATAATATTTAGGTACAAGAGGTTGCTCTGTGAATATTAACTGTTTGCATTTGTATATGAGCTGCTAATCAGGGCATGTGAAATCAGCTAGAAACAAACCATCTTCCCTCCCCTTTTGACTCATTTGTGGAATTATGTCCTGCCCAGCCAAAACCTCTTGCAGCTCTCTTGCAGGGGGCGAGGCAGTGAGTAGGAACCCAAGCTGGGACCTGCTTTTGCCTGCTGCCCTCAGGTTTGCTGCTTGCCTGTTTTCGGAGCGCATGGCACCTTATACTGTGGTGTTCATATCTTGTATAGGATCCCTCAAACAGCAGCGGGATGATGGTTCTGGCACTTCCTGTGCTTTGCAAGTGGGGTGACTTGCTTGAATTTCACTGGAGATGTGGGTTTAAATTCCCCCTATTGTGCTGATTTCTGCATGTGTTTAAGCCGTGCTGAGAAAAAAAAAACAAACAATGAACAAACCAGAGGAAATAACCTGACTGATGACCTCAGTGATGAGCAGGATGGCATCACCGCTTCTGGCAACTGTATCTGCCAGTATCGCATTGCGATGTGAGCTAGAGTTGTGGTCACTCTAAATGGATATATTTAAATAGAATACGTGTATGTTCTGGGCATTTCAGGTATAGTGAAATTAAATTGGGATCACACCAAAAGTCTATCTTGAGCCAGTAAATTTTCTGGATTAGAGACTTTGCTTAGTATGACATTTGCATACTTGGAATGTTAGTCAAACCTTTGATCTTGGTGTTTTTTCAAAGCCAAGGACAATATTTTTTATAGGAGGAGCATTAAGAGTTTTCAGTGAGTTACACAAATCTATTGTCTTGTTTTGACCTTGTACTATACCAGATGCTGCTGATGGTCTAAATTTTTACTAGCTATCTTTTTATTGGTTTTAAGAAACTGTAATATAGCAGTGCCCTTCTAAATAAGTGTAATATTTACTACAAGAAAGGGAAAAAATGTGAGTACAGTCTGGAATTCGTTGGTACTTTCATTTTGGTGGCAGTTTTACTGTGAAACAGATGTGTTTCTGTGTTTCTTGGGCTCGATCACCTTCTGGTCTTAATGCCTGTTGTGTTTGTTCTTTTTCTAGTTTTCCTTATCCTGTGTAATCTTTTTGTTTAATACAGTTTTTCAAAGAAATGTGTAAATGATTTTTTGTTTGGTTGGTTTGTTTCACAAGTGCTGAATTTATGTGCAATCTTGAAACAAGCCTCTTCAGGAAAAAATGGGAACGAGTGGGTATAAATCGTAAAAATAACTTCTAAATGGAAATTTGCTCTGGATTGACTTTGTAAAAGGGCGATGCTGCAGATTTGTGCCACGTGTTGTGATTCATATGTGCCGTTACTTGCACAGTGCAACTAGGAAAAAGATGTGATTTTAACAGATATTTTTGTCTTGTTGAACATCATTTTATTAAAAGTTACTACTAGTGTTTTAAAATGCGCAAAAGCCAGTAACTGTCGACTCTGGATTAATGTATCTGTGTTCATACCTGGATAAGGAGAAGGTGCATGTCCCTAAAACAGCACTGTTTATAAACAGGGACCTGTGTGACAAAATGACTGGACAAGGGTGCCTTGGTCTCTTGAGAGAGGTGTTGGGTTTATCATGGGTCTGTATCCCACAGAGTCTCTCAGATGCAGAATTCCTGGTGTGGAGCACATCCATGTCCTTGTCAGGCCTGAGCAGAGCTGCCACGCTGCATTTCAGTTTAGATCTTGGGGGGTCTTTTCCAGTTTCAGCATGAATGATACGAGGGCTGAGGAGGTGCAAGGGCTCTGGGAGGCGAGGAGAGCAGGGCTGATTTATGGCTTTCCTTCACTGCTTTCCTCGGCACCTTCTGCTGAGCTGGGACCTGGCCAGAGGTGGCTGTTTCTACTTGAAGAAATTATGCAGCAGTTGTGGGATGTTCGCAGAGTTGAGTAAGCTTCGTTCATGCAAGAGGCTCAGTTACCATGGATTTAAAAAAGGACGGAAGGAAGGAAGAATGAACTAGAACCAAACGGTAAAACAACCTAATTTTTTTTGAAGAAACGAGGTAAGTCTCGGGGCATTTCAGGCAGGTGAAACGCTTTCTCTCCAGGTATGTGAGATCTTGTCCACACCTCCATCTTCTTGCAAATTATCCATTTTTAGTGCTGTCACATTGCCAGTCAGAGGAGAGAATATGGGGAAAAGATGTGTTGAAACATTCTCCCTTGAGATAGTGCCCGACAGGGTGGGTTGTCCTATAAGATGTGTAGCAAACTAAGACAGCACTTAAAGGTGTTTTGGTTGTTGGGTTTTTTTTAAATAAATATGCATATTTCCATAATAATAATATGTTAATTCCTTACTGACTGAATGATAGATCTATACAGGGATCGTTGTGATGAAAGGAGAGCATTCTTGTAAGTGCTGGAACTTTTTCTTTTCCTCCTGATGACCTGTGGAGTATGAAAGACATTTGTTATATTTGCATCAACAGAGCCTAAAAATGCAGTGAGCCCCAAGAAAGTTGCCTCTTGGTCCTATTCAAGCTGTCTCCAGTGATCAGCCTCTTCTGAGGTAAGAGGTTTTGTCTTGTCTTGACGTTATCACAAAATCATAGAATGGTTTGGGTTGGAAGGGACCTTCAAGATCATCTAGTACCAACCCCCCAACCACAGGCAGGGACACCTCCCACTAGACAAGGTTGCTCAAAGCCCCATCCGCCTGGCTTTGAACACCTCCAGGGATGGGGCATCCACAGCTTCTCTGGGCAACCTGTTCCAGCACCTCACCACCCTCACAGTAGAGAATCTCTTCCTTATGTCTACTCTAAATCTACCCTCTTTCAGTTTAAAACCATTACCCCTCATCCTATCCCTACACTCCCTGATAAAGAGTCCCTCCTCGTCTTTCCTGTAGGCCCCCGTTAGGTACTGGAAGGCTGCTGTAAGGTCTCCCCAAAGTCTTCTCTTCTCCAGGCTGAACAACCCCAACTCTCTCAGCCTGTCCTCATAGGAGACGTGCTCCAGCCCTCGCATCATCTTCGTGGCCCTCTTCTGGACCCACTCCGACAGGTCCATGTCCTTCTTATGTTGGGGGCTCCAGAGCTGGATGCAGTACTCCAGTTGGGGTCTCAGAAGAGTGGAGTAGAGGGACAAAATCACCTCCCTTGACCTGCTGGCCACACTTGTTTTAATGCAGCCCAGGATGCCGTTGGCTTTCTGGGCTGTGAGTGCACATTGCTGGCTCATGTTCGGTTTTTCATCCGCCAGCACCCCTAACTCCTTCTCCTCAGGGCTGCTCTCCATCCATTCTCTGCACAGCCTGTATTTGTGCTTGGGATTGCCC